GTCTTTGCAGATGAAATAATTAGGTAGACCTCCTCCCCTAACTTACATGATGGATTTAAAAACTAGGCTGAACGATTTTGAGATGTGAAGAGTTTTGCTTCTCAGCTGTGTGTCTCCAGGAATTATATTTAGATTGCTTTTTCTGAAATCATTAGGCCTGAAAAAAAATAGAAGCTTAAATTTATTCCAGGAACTGCAGCTTTAAAAAGCCCTCTGCCAAACAAGTAAAGCTGGCAACAGAATCTCCCTCATTGTGACCAAACAGCTCATCATTTAACCAGGAAATGGAAGGGAGGGACCGTTCTTTCTCCATTCCTGTTTTCCATCCGTGAAGAGGTTTGGATGGTTCCGCCCTGACGGTGGTGGGAATGGCTGCACCACAGTGTGGATGTCCCCAGGACGCTGTCCCTCACGCCCATGGCACCACGTGGTGCTAACGAGAGCCAACTCTTCATCCTCGCCCTCTCCTGCCACAGCAAATATACATGTGACTGCCAGCCCACCCCTTCTAGAACTGTTCAGTCTTGCTCATCCCTCTTCCTGCTCTGGTGCCTGGCCATTGCTCCCACTCCAACTACAGTCACCGAATAGCACGATATTTCTGCTGAAATGAATGGTCATGAAATGCTTCTCATCCAGGGGCTGGGTGGAAGACTAGAAATGAACAGGAGGGTCTGGGGGCTGCTGGCAGTTTTCCCCAGAGTACAAGAAGGCCAGCTCTGCCAGGTGTCTCTGTTGGGTGCTCTGGAACCATCTCCATAGTTCTTTCCCGTGTCTGGCACTTGTTTGCCACGGGGTGATTTTCTGGCCAGGCTAAGGCATCTGTACCCCTTTTGGTGCAGGAGAACTGGTGGCACGGGCTCAATCCCCATTTCAGCCTCTCCCATTGCTATCCCATGCAGCTCTTTATCAGGGAGCTGATACTGTGGTTCACAATGTCGATGTTCAGGAGACACATCAAGAAATCTGGCGTACGGCCCACGGCTACAGCTCAGATTCTGCAACAATAATGTTTATGTTGGCAGGCCATGGAACAGAAACTTGCGTTCTCTCCAGCTGACTGGTGTGATTCTAGCAATTAATTCAGCTTTTCCAGGCACAAAAGTTTGTTTATACAGCTTGTGGCTCTTCCTGTTTCAAAACACATCAATAACTTGGGAAAAAAAAACTGGCTAGGCAGTCACAGAATCACAGAAGTGTTGAGGCTGGAAGGGACCTTTGAAGGTTGTGTAGTCCAAGTACTGCTCAGAGCAGAGTCAACTACAGCAGGTTTCTCAGGGCTGTGTCCAGTCAGATTTTGAGTATCATCAAGGAGGGAGACTCCACAACCTCTCTGGGCAACCTTTTCCAGTGTTTGACTTCCGTCTCAGGATAAACTTCTCATATTTAAGTGGAGTTTCCTCTATTGCAATGTGTGTCTATTGCATTTCCATTGTCTTCTCACTGGGCACCACAGTGGAGAGTTTGTCTCTTCTTACTCTTTCACATCATGTGTTTATATACATTGATATGATTCTCTTGTCTTTCTCCAGACCAAGCAGTCCCAGCTCCTTCAGTCTCTCCTTATATAACAGATTCTCCAGTCCCTTAACCATCATCATGGCCCTTTGCTGGACTCATTCCAGTATGTTTATGTATCTTTTGTGCTGGAAAGCTGAGGACTGGACCCAGCTCTGGAGATGTGACCCCCACTAGTGTTGGGGAGAGGAGAAGGATCACTTCCCTTGACCTGCTGTAGGTATTTTTCCTAATGCAGCCTGGAGGCTGTTGTCCCTCTTTGCTGCCAGGTCACATTGCTGGCTCGTGGGCAGCTTGTTGAACACCAGGATCCCCAGAGCCTTCCTTGCAAAGCTCCTTTTCAACTAGTTGGCCTCATCCTCTGCTGGTACTTGGGATTATTAATCTCTGTGTGCAGGACTTTGCAATTCTCTGAGTTGCCCTTGATGAGATTGCTGTTTGCCGTTTGGAAATCTTTATAAAGAACTGCTTGGGACAGAGCTGGAGGGATGGAGATTGAAGTATCTGAGGTCCCCACAAAATGCACACATAATTAGTTGTCTAGTTTTTTAACTTCATGACCCTCACATCTGTAAGACCGTATCATCATCCAGAGCTCTGGAGGATGTCAGAAATCTGAAACGAGGACAAAAGCAATCCATACATGTGTTACCTGTTTTAATCTGTACAGAAACGAGCAACTGCAGTTATTTAATTCTCTGTGTTGCAATTTGAGTCTTAAAATGTTGTATTTATAGCACTTCTGTTTCAATCACAGTAATTCTGCCCCAAAAGCAACATGTGTGAATGGAATCCTCATGGTTATGAATGAACTACTTATTTTCTGTATATTTATATGACTGAAATTCACGGTTTCCTCTGTATTCTGGTTTTTTTCTGCATGGTTGTTCTTTCCAACAACAAGGCCTCACTGCCTCTGCCCTCAGCTCACCAGTGGTGAGAAGTAGAGTGTCCATGTGGTGTCCTGAGTACAGAGGATACAGCAAAATCCTGGCTGTGAAATGTCACCAACTGGAATCGCCATCAAATTGCCAAATGTCCTAAATAGGTCCAATTTTTTCTTTGTCTTTATCCTGTTGCATGTTATTTTGGGGATAGAAGGGACCTGGAGCCTAATGGAGCTGTCTGAGAACTCCTGTTTTTTTCCTTTACTTTTGCCACTCTCACGGGACAGTCACTGATTCACAACAGGGATTTACACCCAACTGTGAAATTTTTTACTTTGGGCTTTACCTTGAATCCAAACTTTCCAGTCTCTATATTGGATGTCTCAGACAATGAACTAAGGACATTAAGAGAACAATCCTGGTTTCTTGGAAGTGAGTAAGGAAAATGCCTTTGTGTTGGAGGCAGCCTTTATTTTCAAATGTTTGGAGATAGGACAATCCAGGCTTGTTCTTTCATCCACGCAGAGAAATTTAAGCACGTGCAAAACCTTCTAGCTACCTTTCTTTACCCAGACTCACAGAGTAATTAACATAGTTTACTTACTTTATTTAATTTACTTCCTTTGGTTTGAAATTTCTTGGTTTTCTTTCAGGTTTTATGCTGCAAATTTATTAATAGCACCAAAAATTAGATTTTTCAAGAGGGTGTACAACTAGAATAACTTTATAAAGGGATGTAGCAAAGAAAAAGTAGAAATGTTGCTGAAATTCATTTAGGGTATTTACAATGTGCTCACTCCTAACTTCACTGTTGAAGCAAATCAGGGCAGAAAGTCTTCATGGCATGGTAGTATGACTCACTTTGGGTTCATGGAGATCTGGGTTGCAGATTTGAACCCCTCAGCTCCATTCCTTGTGTGTCTGGACACAGCCCAGCCTTGCCTGGGGCTGCCTTTCTGTCCTTATTCCCTGCAAGTTCCTGCACCTTCCCATCGGGACACTTTGATTTGGAGGGTGGAAGAATGGCCTTGAGTTTAAGATGCTGGATTGAGATGTGCCCAAGCTAAAAAAGTCAAAAATTCCTTTCTTTAAACATATGTGGTTTCATGTGACCTTCAGTGAATCTGCCAAAACTTCAGCTTTCCCCCTGCAAATTAGGTACTGTCCAGCTAAGCTGGTTGGATACCAGGTGGTAGGAAGGAAAACACAAAATTATTTATAAAAAAACCCCGAATCCTGCTTTATAGACAGAGCTCATCTCTTGTAAGTGGGTCAGAGTCGTTACAGAAAGCGTAGCCGCAGTCACACGGTGTGTTTAATAGATCCTCTTAATGTTCAACAGTTTTCCCCTCTTCTAAAGCTTCCATTTTGAAGTCAGATGATTCTTAATACGTTTTTTTTTTTTCTTTTCCATTTGCAGTTAACACATTGACCCGGCGTCTTGGCAGCAGCACTGGGAAGCTGGGTTGGTGAATCCAGGTCCTCCAGTTTTCTTTCCTTCCTTCCTTCCTTCCTTCCCTCTGAAGGAAGCCCCCATGAACGGGTTCCTGGGATTAAGGAGGAAGCGGAGGTTTTAATGAAGCAGACTCCATTCTTCCGAGGGGTGAAGGGAGGTAAGGGAAGATCCTGTTGCTTATGTGATTGTTGCTAATTACTGTAATTGAACATCCTCATGACAGGAATATTTGGTGCCTGAGGTAAAGCTTGTTTGCTTCCATTCCTTTTTTCAACTGTCTCGTGGTGCCCTCTCGAGGTAGGAGAGCAGCCCCTTCTATTCCCTGTTTTACAGCAGCTGGAACACAAGCTGGAAGCACAGACCTCGGTGAAGAAGCTGAGAAATTGCTATTTGCTTTGAAAAAAAGATTAAATTTGCTAAAAATCCTTGCAAAATAAGTGGGATTTTTTTGATTCCCATTTAAAAAAGCACACCAGTCTGTTTGTTCCCATCTTTTCTGTGAGATCAAGCACTCAAAAGGATGCAAAAAGCACAGGGGGTGCTTCTTCACAGTGCCCTGAGGCCACAAAGGTGCATTTCCTTGGAGCATGAACAAGGTTAAAGGCTGTTTCCATGAAGGAAGGGAACACATTTCCCACAACATGCTTTTGTGCCCTTGAAGCAAAGCACAAAATGCATCAGGAAATGCTGACGTGTTTGGATATTAAAGTGGATTAGGAAACCTTGACACATGAGAAAGGCTGACCTTAGGGCTCGAGTCAAACAGAGGGTATTGTGCTTGCGAGGGAGGTCTGAATGCCTTTAATGTCATCACCACCTCACTGTGAAGGACTGCAAACTGCAGGATTCTCTGTAAAAGTGACTATTAGATGCTCAGTCTTGAAATATCTCTTGCCAGGTGACAGCAGATTATCCTTCCAAAAATGCCTCATCTTAAATCCAGCAAGGAGCAAGGACTGGCAATATGGTGGGTCCTCAAGAGGCAGTGAATTAATCAGTTTGGGTTTGGACTGGGATAGGGTTCAGGCTTAGAGTTTGGGGCAAGGACATCCAGTTTTAGAGAAGAGCATGCTGTGGGTATACTATGATTTATTTAAAAATACAGATTTTAAAAAAAGTCTCTGCTTCTCATGGATAACTTTTGAAGGGGATAAATGTAAGCAAATGCTGAACAACATGCCGATTCTGAAGGCACAGATCCCCTCCACAGAACTGCAAATTGAAGACTCAAGGCTCCTGTTTTGTTGAAAAGGGACTTTTGAGCCCAACAAGGGGTAAGATGTTAATAAAACCTTTGTTCACTGTTACAAAAGGGAACAGCTAAGTGTGGGTTGGGGTTTCTGCCAAGTTAACCCTGACTTCTTCCCATTGCCACCAATACTGCTAAGAAACACCTTAACATGTTATTTAAGACAAAGGAAAAAAACCAGTTAATACTTTTCATTTTGAATGCTGTGTTTAGAGCAAAAGCTTTCATTTTAAACATATCTTTATTCACTTTCCTTGTTGCTAGACTAGGGGCTTTAAAGAAAATTCACATTTTATGTGGCATTAACTTTCTTTTTGTGGGGAAAAAACAAAGCTAGCTTAAGTGATCTGAAACTGGCACTGTCTTTAATACTAATGAAGTTTTATTTTCTTTAAGGTGAAAGTGCAGGTGTTCTGAGTCTCCCCAAACACGTGCTAACCAGGCTTATTTTATTATTTCCTTCCCTGTGGTCTGCTGGGCTTTGCCCATCTGTAGTTTCTCCCTGTTGTTGTCAGCTCCTTCAGAGCCATGATCGGACAGAATTGCTATGGTAATTGGAATAATAATAACAAAAAGCCATAGAAAAATAAGGCAACATTGAATCACCATTTCCACTTTTTAATTCTCCAGCAAAGAAGGACAAAAAGGAGATGGCTTCTGTCTGCAGTGTTGCCTTTCATTTGCAACTGTGCTGTTATGGAATCAGAGGCTACTTAATACATGATTTTGGAAACTCTTTGGAGTATGAGGTGGTAGGAGTTGCTGGATAAGATGCATCTCCATGTGATGCTGACAGTGGTGTGATGACATTATAGTATTATCTGACAGCGAGGGAAGAAGTGAAGGAGGGAGGTGGCAGGTGTACCTGGGTACTCTCTGGTCAGGATTTGAGCATCAGGGTCACAGAGGTCCTGTGGTGTCATGTTTAAAAGCAGGCTGGCAGAATATGTTGGGGTGACAGCCACATTTCCTCCTGCCCTCATACCCTCCTCTGCTCTCCTTTGTGCCACCCCCTCATCTAAGGAAAGGTGGCATCTTTATTCTGGTAGAATTAACTAATCAAAGTACGCTGTTGGTGATTTCAATTATAAATGTTTCTTCCCATTCTTAAAATGTTTTCACTTGTTTTCTTGGCAGGACCTTGAGGAGCTCTCCTGAGAGTCCCTTTCACATAGATATGCACAGAATGAATAGTTTATCTCCAGCTCCTGCTGACTTTCATGAATAATTTGATGTAAAAAGCTAAGTTGGATTTCTGCTGTGTCGGTTAACTTGGAAGTACCAGCTTCTAATATTCCAGCCACAGACTGAAACAGACTTTCCAGTTTTAGAGACCAAAGTGGCCTCTCTGGCTTCCACTCATTGTGAATACCTTACCTTTTTTCCTCCTTTAACTACCTGGCTGCTTCAGGCTCCCCAAAACATGAAAGAGGCTCTAGAGCTTCCAGCTGACAGAACATCTCTTGTGAATGAAAGCTCTTTGCTTAAACACAGAAGATTTGGTGGGACATACAACTGTGATTTTTACTGTTTCTTGTTTTCATTCCCAGGTGTACGCCAGAAAATCCTGTGGTCAGCCCTGAAGGTAAGCAGCTCATTTTACAGAGTGATTTCATCTGCCCACTCTCACTGAAGGCAAACAGAATTGCTTATCTGAGTAATGTCACACGTGTGCCTAAATGATTGCAAGAGACTGAAAGGAGCTGGGAGTAGAAATAATAGCACTACTTCATCTCTCACAGAGCAGAGCCAACAAAATAATGCAGTCATGTGAATAAAGAACCAACATAATAATCAAGGTCTAACCATTTTTGGAAAATTAGCACTTCTTCCATAACAGTAACAGGCTGCTGGGAAAATGGTACAAAGTATTAACTGTCAGGTTAAGCACACCTTAATCAACATGTGCTGAGTCCCACTGATGTGTCCTCAAACCTGTTACTTAAGTACTTGTTAAGGCCAATTAAATAAACAAAATTTTAAAGCCTAATAGCATAAACCACACAAATAACATAAAAGAGCCATAATGGTTGAGGGCGTTTAGCCCTCCTTGATTTAAAACAGTGAAGTGAAAAATGTTGGAGCCCTTGAAGGTGATTTTGAAGACGAGGAAGTGACTGTGCTACACAAACAGCAATCAGAGACAATTAAGAGAACTGGGACAAGTGCCTCATTCTCCCAGCAGACTGCATGGGAAATTGCACTTTACATTTCAGTCTCATTGCATTTTCAAATAAGGCCCCCAGCTATGTCATTTTTTCAACTCCAACTCAAATCAAAAGATATTGCTTAAAATCTTCCTATTACTCCAGAAGTGAAAGGAATGATTGTCTATGCTGATGAGCCTGGAAGATTGTCTTGGAAAGAATTTGACAGTTTTGTCTCCGGGTCCCATTATAACGTTATTACTGCCCCTGAAGGAGACTGACAGAGCCTGAATGCCGGCGTGAGGACGAGGGTGGTTGAGGATGGCTCTGTGCCGCTGCAGATTTTGTGTTGTTCCTCTACAGAAACAGCAGAGACACTGTGAGCTACGCTGTGCATGTGTTTTCTCTTAAAGCTTAATCTGATGAGGAATCTCAGCGAGACCCTGTGCTAACAAAAGAACAGAGCATTCAAGCAAGCTGAAAATAAAAACAAAGACATAAAAATGGAAAGAATGAAAATAGGGAAATTTGGAAATAGTTATCCAGGTCTAATTATAACCCTGTCCCTCTGCAGAAAGCACAACTCACCAGTGATACTTTTTAAAGAACTTTCTGTTAGGCTCGGGAAGGTTTCGGTCCTGAAGTGCTGAGGTGGTCTCACTTTTGTAGCCTTCTTCCCACAGACAGGAGTACAGTGAGCTTGCAGAGCTCTTGTAGCTGGTTTGGTTTGCCAGAGTAAGTGATGGTGCCTGGGAATGAGCCCTACCCTCATCTCTGGCTCCTGTCTGGGTAGAGAACACTGGCCCAGCTGCTGCTGTTCCCCAGCACAGGTTGGAGTGCAGAGAGACACAGGGGGACCCTGCACTCCATCTGACTGCCCGTGTGGTGCCCAACAAACCTTCCCTGAACCAGCCCTGACTCCTCTGCTCAGTGTCATGAAAGCTGTAAGATGGAGGGGCTGTGGTACATCCACAGAAGTGATGGAAGCTTTCCCTGACAGCAATTTTCCCATGGAATTATCTTATCTTACTGTTTTCTTTCCACGGGGCACTTCTTCCTTTTAAAGATTTTTATTTTAATGAAAAAGGCTCTAAATGTAAATGTTCAATTATAATGCTAATTGATAGAAATTTAGTGTGAGATCTCTCCACTCAGATACAATTGACTCTGCATAAATCAGGTCATCATAGCAAACAAGGACCTAAATCAGTTATTTCCAGATTAAAGATTTAAACTTTTATGTTTCACTGTATAACAATTGTCTGAGAGATAAATTACAGTTACAGTGACAATCTGGTACGTGCTCTCTTTAACCCAAGACATAAATTGCTCAGATCTCAGACGAAAAAAGCAGTGCTTTGTTGCTTTGTGAGGGTTGCAGAGCAAATATACCCACTGAAATTAAGAGGAATTTGTAAAGAAAACAAGCTGCTTCTGAGCCAGGGATTTTAGAAGTTAGTTATAAATTGTGATCGTCCTGACAAGAAGCCTTTTGCAACTCCAACAAGATCATTCACGTATTGAACTATACAGAAGAAAGAAAAATACTGCAAAACCACACTCACTGCACTCAGAACCTTAACCCGTTTCCCAGAACCACAATGGATAATGTTTCTAGCAGAAATTCATTTATTTTGGTGGGACTTCCTTGGAGCGTGGTACTACTCAACTAATGACTGCAAATTTGGGTCCTAACCTGCTTGATTTAAAACAGCTTTAGCAAAATTACCCCTTAGGGGCAAATTCTTGTCACAATAAAACCGATGGGAGTTTTTTGACTGAGTTTTCATATTATACAACAATTGAATTTTCTTACATGTCCAGGTACCTCAAATGTGTAACTCGTAAGTGTAAGAAACATATTTATATACATAAAAATGATGTATATAAAAATGCAGGGTCTATTGGTTTATATTCACTAGTAGCTCTATGGCTCTGCATTCATATCTCTCTGCCGTTCTCTGAAACAGAGCAGAAAGGCCAACGGGAGCAGAATACCAACCTGAGATAGCAGTCTAGCAAGGAAGGCAGTGCTGTCACTGCAGAGGGACTTTGAGCACAAGAAGTGACACTTGCAGTTACTGAGGCTGTCAGTCCAAATCCGTGTTGCTTTGGTACCCTGGATAAAGATCGGGCCAACTTAAGAGCTGGCGACACGCCATGCAGACAGATGGACAGATGGGTGAGCAACACAGAGACCGTGCTGGAGCATCAAGTGTGGGTTCTGAAGGCAGCATTCCTAGCTGAGAGATTCCAAACAGCTGGCCAGCCTGAATTTTTTAAAAACAATTTATGTTTTAGGAAATGCCGCAGTTTGTTTGGTTCTGGGTGATGTAACCCACTGAACAAACCAGTGATGGGAAGGGGTATTGTTATTTATTCTTGGTAAATGTGGCTTGAGCTGCACAAAAAGAAGGAAGTGAGGAAGGGGCATTCCCTCTGAGCCCTGGAGAGAGTGAGGATGACAAATGATAATAGAATTTCCCTGTGTCTTTCTGTGTCAGGGCAAAACAGATCTCTGCTGAGCAGAGCAGCAGAGGAAGTGTCAAAGCTGCACATTGGAGATGGGGAAGAAAAATCTCACCTTGGATTCAGGGACTGGAATTCATCATAAACTCACACTTCAGCCTTCTTCTCCCAGGAGGATCAGCATCGGGGTAGAGGCACTATGGGACAATTCCTTTCCTGGGACAAGGGTAGACACAGGAGAACTCGAGCTTTTATTACAAGCTGGAAAACTGAAACCCAAAGGTGGAAATCTGTTACCAGTGCATTTTTTTTTTTATAAAATAGTTTAAAAGAGCTTATCTAAATTTAAATATCTAGCTTTAAGCAGTTTATTTCCTTGCACAACAAACTAAACAGATGATTCAAGAGCATGTAAAAATTCAGCTGCTCTGTTGGCATTTGAATGGTTTGTCCTCACATGCATCAGCATCCCTTTACTTACAATATTTCATCCCTTCTGTTTGCAAAATGGGTAGGGTTTTCCCAGGCAGATACTTTGTCTGGACTGCACCATATTCGATCTTCGAATAATCAGTTCAAACTGCAAGTCAAACACCTCTTCTACTCCATTCTCTGTAATTGATTCATTATTTCTCTCAAATTCTTTGGCTGCTTCATGTCTTTTTGCCAGTGTGATGCATATTAAGCAATCAGGTCATTCCAGGTTGCTTTTGTTTGTGTTACTCCTATGAATTCAGTTTATATTTAACCCTGGGAATAACAGACATAAAAAAGCCAACACCAAAAAAAGAAGGGAGGATGCATCCAGTGCAGTCAATATCATGTCCAGTCACAGAGTTAGGAGGGGACAGGATGATTGAAGGGAATGATAAAGGGCACGAGCTTCTAGTTTTTGGAATTGGTTTAGGTTTGATAAATCAGAAAACTGTTACCAAGTAAGAGCACTGATTTATTGCTGGGTTTGTCTCTTTTGGTGCACTAAAGGGACAATGTTTCTAGTGCCATCTCAGGTCAAGACTTCAGGATATTCTTCCATATTCCCTGGGCACTACAGTTCCCACATAAAGGCAAGATGAGGGTCATGTTGTATTCAGCATGTTTGGATCATCAGAGGCCCAAGGCCACAGCACCCAGTATAGACATTATCTAACTGTTGGCCCTATCTTGCCTCACAAAGATCAAGCACAGAACATTGTGCACCACCAGCAGAGAGGACAAAGCCACCACCATGACCCCAGCCCTAAGTCAGTGATGGTACAAAGGGGTGAATTGAGATTTAAGTCTGCCTTGGCTTTTTTAAGGTCACTGATTCCCTTTAAAGAAACAAAACAACACAGAGACTCTTGTGTGCACAAACACACACACACAATAATTAAAAGAATTAACATGGGAATTAGTTTGTGTTGCAAACCAAGGCTGTTGTTAGGTGGAAATTTGCCATATGCTCTCCAACACTAGACACAAAGAAGGACCATTTTACCACTTAAACCTCCGTTTTTGCTGTAGGATTGGAAAGCCCAGTGCTGTTGATTGGCTCCTTTAATTTAAAGCAAATTAATTGTGGGAGCTGGATATCAAGATTACTCAGAAGTTCTTGGAAGCTCGCTCTTTCAGGCTGCTGAGCTTTTATTTTGAGGAGAAAGTAACACAAATAATAAAATGCAGAGATGCATGGGCTTAGTGTAAAGAAGACTTGGAGGTTTATATGTCTTCCTTCTTTTTTTTTTTTTTTAAACAGTCCAATTATGTACCACATAGCAGCAACTGGGCTAACACCAGCCATATGATGGAATAGCTTGTAATCCGGTTGTGTCTAACTCCATGAGACAGACTCCAAGTAGATGAGTTTTAAATCTCCTTAGAATTAAGAAGGGTTTGGCAACCAAATTAATTGTTTTGGAAAAATCCTGCTTTATGGATCATGAAGAGGATAAAAAGGGAAAAAACATGTCATCTGTAGTGGTTAGTCAGATGTTCTTTTGGAGTTACAACGATTTCCTCTCTAATTCCTCTCCTTGTTGACATTCCCGTTAAAAGAATAATGAGTACGATGTTCGTTGCCTTAGCGCTGCTCATCCCTGTGTACATTACGAAATCTTTGCATTAAGCCACCCAAATGGATTGAATCCTACAGTGAGGCAGACACTGAAAACAACTGCACTCAGCTGTGAGATGCATTAAAGCCACGTATAACCCGATACGCTGCGCTACAAGGGGTGATAATCGCTGGGACCCTGTACGGGAGTTTGTTTGAAAGCAGTGGTGGGGCCCAGACAGAGTGCATCACTCTGGTTTAGCAGGACTGAATTATTTCAGTCTCTGGATTTTTAATATTTATGTAGTTACCCTTTTACCGGTGCGGTTGTGATGCCTTGAGAAAATATGTTCTATGTATTATTAATGCCATGTTTAAATAATGAGAGACAATTAAATGATCGCTGGGTGATAGTTTCCCGGGTGTATTTCTGGTTTATATATTTTGTAGATCTGTACTGTGTTCTCACAGAGGCTACATTACTTAATTACCCCGTGCTTTTACAGAATTTTGGTAAAAATAAGCGTGCAAAAAAAGATATTATTATTTCACAAGTGGCATAAAAGCAGCTTCATTAGGGAGCCTGGTACTAATAGTCCTTTAATACAGAAAGCCAGAAGATGGTTCTTCACATGGTACATTAAACAGTGAAATATGCCAATTTTGACTTGATTTCTATGCTGCTAAACTACCCCACATTCATTTGCTTCAGCTTTAAACCCTTTCATTCTCATATTCTCCAGCCCTGCTAACAGAATTGCAGCTTGCTTTTCACCTATCTCCTAACAGTTTAACATGGATGTCTGGGTCCAGCCCATTGTTCCAATTGTATATAGTTTAAAAAGCTCTGCAGTATTTTACTCTTTCCATTATATCTTGGCTTCCCTGAGCGCTCTGCTTGCTGCATTTTGCTTGTACTGGCTCTGTTTTCTAAACCCATTTATGGCTTTTTCTTCTGTACACACTTGTTCATTGGGGAGCTTAAATTGACTTCTCTCCATTCTGTTTCCTTAACTAAAAACGCACCATTAAGGTTGATTGAAGTCTTTTGAAAACACTTCATAAAAAATGAAAGGCCATAAGAAATTAGGCTACCAGTGTTTGCAAATACCTGTTTTCAGCCAAATTGATGGGAGGGAAGAAGAACTGAAATTTAAAAATGCTACTGATATGTATTTTGTTGCGAGTTGTCTTTATAAGAATAGAAAAAGCATGTGTAAAACATTTTGAGGAATAAAATATTGAGACGTTAACAAGATGTGTTGTGCAGTGGCTTGTTGTTGCAGAAAGCCTTTTCTCCAAAAAAACATCAGGCACAGTTCTGAAGAGAGAAAATTACAGGATGAACAGAAGTATTTGGATTAGTTATTTTCATGATTTTCTGTTGTAAAAAATATTTTTTACTCTCAAATATTTCTCTTCAAAGAATACTGTAAAGTCTTTCTTTAAGAGTAACATTTGAACCACGGAATAGCATATTCATCAGGAATAGGAGGAGTTCGTAATATATTGCTCTACAAATTGGTAAAAAAAAGCTTAATTAAGTCAGTGAAACTTTGAGTGCCTTTCAGAACAAAAACATCTGTGCAGTGGTCAAGGATATAAAGTATGTTTTACATTATGTGCGCATATCCTTAATGAACAAAGCAGCCTCATTTCACGAGTCCCCCACCAGGAATCAGGGAAGTCATTCTGAACACTGGGCTGAATTGTCAGGGAAACTTTTATGGACATATGGAAATGCATCTGCTTTAAAAAGAGAAATATCAAGAGGGATTTGCACAAAGTTAAAAGCAAAGCAAGTGCTTTAGAATCAAAAGTGATTACACTGAAAATGGCAGCTTGCTTGTCAGAGCAGCTGAGGCAGCTCCTCACCAAACAAAATACTAATAGTTCCAGCTGTTTCCAGGCTCTCCTAATACTACTGCTTATCATTAAAAAGTACAGACTTTATAGAAATGTGGAAAGCTCTAAAAGAAAAATAATTTGATTTTAGTTTATTTTTAGATTTTTTTTTCAGACAGCTGCCAAACATGTTTTATTTACAAGATGTATTACTTCTATGGCTTTTTCTCTTTTCAGAAATTTAGATATTCATTCTGACAGTCATCTCACTAAGTGGAGGCATCTAAAATGCAGAAGACTTTCAGTAAAAGACTTATGTTGCAGAACAGGAGCGAAAAAATCTGCATAGGGTGAGTTTTACAGTTTTAAAGGACTGTTTAAAAAAACCCCAAATCTTAATATTGAAAAGCCAAACCTACTGAGCCCTGAAATCAAACTTAGATTTGAATTCAGAATAAAAAAAAAAGTTGTAAATAACAACCATTCCCAGGCTTTGCCTTTAATAATATGATGAATTTAATTTTTATTTTATAAAAGCAGTAGAATAAACGCTCCAGACCTCGGCTGCAGCAGCGTCTGATGGTGTACGTGAGCACAGACTGTAGCAGACTGTAGCAGACTGTATCACTTGCTTTAAGAATTCTCCTGTTAATGGAGGGAAAGAGCAGTGAGATCAACAAGCAAAGTAGCTGAGTACAAGGAGGTCATGCAGCAGTGCTGAGTTCTGTGGCAGAGCTACAAGGAAACCCTGTCAGCTTCCATCCCATTAAACGAGCCATGAGCTACGTGTTGGACTCGCTGGGATTACCAGCAAACCCCTACCAAGCTGTCTGCTGGCTCTTGCTCACATCCTCTATCAATTATTCAGTTCCTTTTATGCAAATAATGTTTCATGGAAGCAATGGAGATCCATAATGGGGAGAAGAGTAACATCCATTTAGGAGAATTAAATGGTAGATGAAAAGCGTGACACTTTGCAGGCAAAAGCTATTGAAATGGTGCAGTACCAGGACTCTCTAAATGTCTGTGTGCATGCACAGATGGGGAGAGTCAAAGTTTAGTTTGCTTTTTTTTGACAATCAACTTTATACAGAATTAAAGAAGGTGGCAATAGACACAGACTCCAGCATTTCCAGTTCTGCCCAGGGGACAGCTGAGAAGCAAGGCCTCTGTAGCAGATCTGTCTGTGCTCTGCAGGCTCTAAGCTCTCATTTTGTATCTTACAGGGAGTGTATGCAGCAAGTCTGGATGACAATGTGTTTGTACTAAAGAGAGACTTTGCTGCTCTTTGGAGTCAGGGGTCACAGAAAAAACGAGGGCCACTCCTGCATTCTTTTATCAAAGCATTTGTTGGTTTCAATGCATGTATGGGATCAAAACTCTGCTGTAGCCCCAGTACAGTTCATGGGCCCAAACTCTACTGCTGTGTGCAGAGACACTTCCATTCCCAGCAGGAAGTAAGCTCTGAGTGAAGTTCAACAATGATGCTCTGAGAACATTTTGTTTCTTCTGAGATTCTTCCCTCAGAAGAGATTGATGAGTAAACGCAGACAATCCTGGCTGAACCCAGCCAAAGAACTGATCATGTCCCTGTTGCGAGCCTTTAAATCCTTGTCTGGGATTTTACTTGAAGGTTTATCCCTTTTCTTGTCAGTCAGCTAATGATAGTTTGCCTGCTGAACTGTCTGCAGGCTGTTTGGCCACTTATGTCTTGGTCTGCACTGTCAGCTTCAGAGGTGGTGGTACCCCACTAATGCTGTGCACTGCAGAGGCTGTGGTGGAGCTGCTTGTCCTGAACTCAAGCAGGTCAGCTGGGGTGAGAAAACCTCCATCATCCTGTGTGCTCCAACATCAGTTACAGAATCTTATAATAACGTTGGATTTTATACCTGTTTAATAAGGCAGAAGCACAGAAATAGGACCACAGCCACAAGGCTTCTGTCTGTGTCCTGCTGCAACCCCTCTGCCACACTGCTACTCTTTGTGTGCAAGGAGGGTGAATCAAAAACAAACAAAATGCTATTAAAACATAGAATCATAGAATATTTTAGGGTGAAAAGAC